GTGAAGGAAAGGTCACTTTAAATTTCTTAAATGGAATCCCCCACTTTTTATTGCATATTCTTGTAGCTTATCTCAAAATCTTTTTAAAACACTATAAAATAAAATGTAAATAAAAATTATTCTAATAAAATATTTTTCCATTAAGCACTTCTCGAGTTATAAGGCTCAAATATTACAACATCGCCGGCATTAACGACAAAATTCTCCGTCAGACGAGAGACAATACATTGTAGATTATGACCATATTTTTTTTTGTCTGAGATTACACTGACGGGAGATTTCAAGTACACCGTAAAAAAAACGGTCTTGCGCTACATGGAGCCCTACAGTGGGAATTTTTATTTTTTTTTTACCAAAAAATTTATTTGGACACTTGAATTTATAATAAAGATAATGGTTTAAACGGATTTCATGTATTATTTATATTTTGCCAGAAAAAAATTCCTAAAAATTAGCTTGTTTTTTATCTCGTCAGAGTATACTAACCCCTTAATTTAGTTATTGTGAATTTATTTCGAGATTAAATTTATATTTAGCAACTTAAAAAATCCTTAAATTTAATTAAAATAGACAAAAATGTAGTTTATTTATAATCTTCAAATTAAATCTTATTATAATTTAATCTTCGGTAAAAAAATTATTTTATTGGTGGATGCAAAGAGGTCCACGCTTTAGATTTGTATTTTAAATTAAATTTATAGTTATCTATAAATGAAATCAACTATACTAAATTATTTTTTTATTATGTATATACATATATATATATATATATAATAATTTTAAAAAATTATTTTTTATTATGTACCTATATATATATATATATATATGTATATATATATATATATATATATGTATATATATATATATATAAAATAAAAATATATTATATTTATTATTATATTTAAATAATATATTTATTATAACGTTAATTGCATTATATTATTACAATATTTATTAATATGGAAATTATTTGTTAAATATTATTTCGAACTATTTCGAACACAAGACAAATTATTTGGACGATAATTAATTACGGACTAAGAGTTAAATGAGTGACAAAAAAAAGTATTGATAATAAAGGATAATAGCTAATATAGAATTATGTAATGGAAAGTACAATTCTTACAAAGACATGGATCATTATAAGCAAAATTTCACTTGTCACTTTCACACGCTAAACTTATGTATACGTACCCCAGCAAAAAGAGCGTTAATGCGGTAAGGTGTGTAATCGTGGATCGACGTACTACTACGACTGTGATGATGAGAGCTGAGCATCGAGGACAAATCGTGGCCGCGGGTACCCGCGGCCAGACACTTGTCGCGTTCGCTGAAAAAGAATTAGATTACAATTATACATCTCGTTAGCTGCTTTAGGACATTAAATACGCATCAAAGTGGTTTTCTCAAGTTAGTTAGTCGCACACAAGTTTAGCAGTTAATTGTCAAATAAATTTTTCTTGGAGAAAATATTAGAAGTGAAAGAAAGAATTATTTTTACATCTCGTTGAATATACATCTCGCAAATCTAAAAGACTAATTGTCATGTAATTTTAAATTATTGTCAATTTTGATGAGATTGTCTTGGAGAAACTTCAAGACGAGACGTCCGATCGTATCTCAAATGTGAATATCGTTTTAAAACAATCTTTTAGAGTTGAGATGTTAAGGTACAAGATCGAGATTATTTTACGGGATACAGAGACGAATGGATCCGACCGTTCCATGAGACCGATTCCTTGCGCTTGGGTATAGGTGGGCGGTGGAATTCGCGCCAGGATGAACGATCGATCGTTTATCGGAATAGTGAACTCGTGCGACAGCGAATCAGTGAATATTGATGAGTACGTGGGCGGTGCGTCTCTTGAAGATGGAATGTCCTGCGGTAATAATTAGCGATTATAAAGCAGAGAATTCCAATTTGATTAACATAGTGTTCTTTTTGTGATATTTATGGCTTATTTATGCTTGTAATAAGAAATTGAAAAAAATTAATACTCGAGAAAATTTAAAGCAAAGTTAAAAATGTTAGCATAGAAATATCGTTTAATAGTAGATAATTTCCTGTTAAATGTAATAAATAATAATACCAATAACAATATTATTAAATAACATAATACATAGCAATAAATTATAATATATTAATAAAATTATTTAAATTAAGAAATAATCTTATTGACAGTTTCAAGATTAGAAATGAAAACAAAAAATTTCAAACGTGTTAATGCCAGAGAAATATGTATTAGGATATTATTATTATTAATAACATTGATTGAATGCTAAAAGTTTCCTGAAAAAGGAGAGTTGTTTTTTATAGATTTTTGGGCATCGCCTTTAAAATTTGACTATTACGTTATATTTTGGAGAAAAATGAGGTTGAATACATCTCTTAAAATAACAAGTTTTTAATTAATCAAATTTTGAAAAATCATAGCGAACGTGCTAGAAACTTTTAAAATATCTTAAATGAAAGTTTACATTGTACTCAAGCCCAAGTATCTCCAATATTACGAAACTATTTAATTATTTCTAAGAGAGTAATAAAATTAGTATTGTTATAAATAATTATTTCTAACAATATTAGTTTATTCTATTACAACTTGCTCTTTTAGAAGTAATTTTCACAGTCATTAACGACAGATTTACTGGATAAAATATAATCTTTTCTGTTGTTAAAGGCAGAAGCACAGACTTTTGCATGACGCATAATGCATAACGCATAAAGGAATAAACCAATCAGAGTCCTCTATTTCCATCCCTACTCCTCACTCTGCGAATCTTGCATAACGCATAAAACATAATGCATAACGTGATGAAAAATCCGTAAGGATGAATTTTTATGCAATATGCGGGGAAATTCTGCATATTTGTGCTCTAAGTTCCCGACTTCCCGACTTCCCGATATTATTTCCCGACTTCCGCCTTAGAGTACAGTGTGATGGGTGAATGCTCGTGTACGTACAGCACTACGAGACAAACACACGTTACTGCACGCAGGTAAATAGTTTCGTAATATTGGAGATACTTGGACTCGAGTACAATGTGTGTGTGTGTGTGTGTGTGCGCGTGCGCGTGCGCGCGCGCGCGCGCGCGCGCGCTCGTACATATTTAGATAAAATAGGTGTGTTGTATACATATATGTATGTCAATCGATTATCATAAACAATAATAAGCAAATAATAAGCAAGGAATTCTTCGAAGCAAATGTTGTCTTGTCCATTCTATAAGAAAAATCAATCTTGGCATTTGACATGTCGGAGATTTCTTGATAATTATTTGCAAGTTATGTGCCTCGTCTCTCACAGCCGATGTACACCGAAAGAAATTACTAAGTTTCCATCGTCGTCGTCGTTGTCGTCGTTGTCTACATCGTCTTTCATGAAGAGGCGATCGATCGATCTGCGGCCAAGACGATTCACTTAGAGACGAATGATTTAGCGCACAATACGAAAACACTTCTCGCGGATTAGATCTACGATTGAGATTCTGATGAACACCTTAAAAAACAATAAATCCAATGTGAATTTACTGATTGCATTTTATATCGATTACAACTTCTTCTTTATTACTTGACATTTGTTCAATACTGCCAGCATCCATTAGTCGTTCTATATTCTCGTTTAAAAACCTGGAAGTTTCTCGGGTAGTCATATTTCACGCAATTCTAAAAAAAAGATCTCTTAGATATGTCAAATGTTACTCTTAATATAGAAAAGAATGTTTTAAAGTCATAGTTTTAAGAGCAAAAATATGACTTTATGTGCTCTCTAAATTTTCTAGAGTGAATCTCACTCCAAAAGAGTGAAATCTCACTCCAAAAGAGCGAAAATACTGTCACTCGGCCACTTGAGTGGCAGTATTTTCACTCCTAGAGTGAAATTTCACTCCAAAAAATTTAGAGAGTGCAACAAACTTTTTTATAACATACGTTTTATATTGATGCTATTATTATATGGTATCTTTAAATAGAATCATAAGATTTCTTTTAATTTAAAAAATTTTAATTAAAAGTTAGATTTTTCATAATAATATTTTTACTAGTTATTATGTATAGAAAACTTATTACAATAAACAAAATTAGGAAAGTTACACTTTTAAAAAGTAATTCGTTAGAATTATCGTTATTCAGAATTAGATACATATACATATAATGTTTATAATATATATGTATGTAATATATGTACGTAAAATGTAATTAAATTTCTATTTTAAATTTAACTAACGTATTTTTTATGTCAAAGAGTTTTTGTTATATATTATTTATATTTATGTTACTATTTACAATGAATAACGAGTAACAAGTTGCTTTTCATACTTTTAAAAATAACTTTTAAAAGTAACTTTATTAATCATATTTATTTTAATATTTTTACACGTAAAATAATAAAATAATTTTTCATAACAAAATTATATTGTTTTAATATTAATTTTTGCATGGAAATTATAAATATTGTTAATATGCTTCCAATTTCTAATTGCAAGAATTTTATTTGGAAGATACATTTAAAAAAAAAAACGACTGTAAAATTACCTTTTTCCATTTTAATCTGCATTTAGAGAAAAGGTAGTATTTTCATTTCTGTATCTAAAATCAAAACAAGTGCATAATTTAAAATAATATTTTAAAAGTTGATTTTATGAAATAATGAAGAAGAATAAATTTTTTTATATTTAAAAATTTTTTCTAAAACAAAACGTGGTAGGATATAAAAAAATAGACTCTACATTTTTTAATTTAAAATTTATTAATGTCTTTATTTTGTCTTTATTATTATCCTATTTTAAAATTAATTTCAAAATTAACTTGATTCTTTTAATTATACCTTCATTTAATCATATTCTTTTCTTACATCACTTGTGCTTTTTATGCTCATAAAAAAAAATATTAGAATAAGATTAAAAAAACGAGAATACTTTACGAGATATTTCATGACAAGTATTAAATCAGGATTTTTAAAATGAATATTTTATGAGATATTTCATGTAAATCAATCAAATTAAATTTTACATTAAAATGTATTAATAAAATAAAAATAAGAAAACTGTGCGCATCTCTTTTTTCCTTTTTAGCGGAGCGCGCGCAATTATTTATGTATGTAATGCATATATCTATGTATATAATACATTTATGTATTATATACATATATACATATAATATTACAAGAGTAAGTTAATAGTCGATGGTTAGGTCTAAATATAACCTAATATATGTATTACCAAAACTGTTATATTACATGGATGTTCCATTATTGAAATCGTATTATGTAGGAAAGATGATTGCTTGTCAGCAATTTTCTCAAGCAATGCTATATTCGATCACTGTGTGAACTAGAAGGGTCTCTTGCTTTTATTTGGATTTTTCGCCGGTTTCGTTACTGAAGGACAAGACGAATTTATGTTTCCTTATGAGATTAGCATTTTTTATTACTCGTAATTGATTCGCGGCAATCATTTTCACATTACTCATGATTAGGTCACAAACAATTTTTAATGTGTATTTATATAATTCTATGATTTATTGCAGCTATACTGCCCAATGTGAAATTAGCATAATAAAAATTTGAGAGAACAAAAATATTCCACGTCATGGTACAAATACATATATACATATACAGAGACCGCCAAATGTTCGGGTTCACCTAAATAATTTTTAAATGGTTCGAGATATTGGATTGCAATTTATAGAATTACAATGGTATCATGAAATCTATTATTTAACCTTGAACACACCCATTTCAACCCTTTGGGAAGGGGAAATGGTATGTGAGGTTGAGTGAGGGCTCGTCTGAAAGAGCTTTTCGAGACGAGAAGAACTTGAGGTTATTGAGGTTTCTACGATATTTTTTCACAGAGTTATGCTTATTTGAACATTGGTGTTATTTAGCGCTATCGAAAGTCCATGGCGAGGACGTGATAAAGATAAAGCTTCGCGCATGTTCCTGAGTGAATGGAAATGCATGTGAAAGAGCGCGTGCGTGCGTGGGTGCGTGCGTGCGTGC